TGGAGGGAGGGGATTTTCTTAAATGCTTTTGTTTCCCTTCACTTTTACGAATTCCTCCTGCTCTCTGCAAGTTTAATTTCCATCTTTGGGGAAAGATACAGCAAATCTGTTTGTATCCGTGCTGTTACCTCAGTCAGTGACTAGGATAATAATTGAGACTGTAATTCAGCTTAAAGGATCTGTAGGTCTGTGTGCTGATAATGCTGTGCTGCAAAACGTTTATCCGTGGTGGCAGACTAATCTCACTATTACTGAGAGCTGCAGCTTCTGGTGTATGTTTCTTTAGTTGTAAATGCCTGCTGATAGATTCCAGCATGCTGTCTGTCTTTTAAAACTCTATTGTCATCTTTTGGCTCCTGTGATACCTCATGAAAAAGAACTTAAAATCTCTGTTTCCTAAGTAACTTGTTATTCTTTTCAAGAAATGTGTAACGCTACCTTTCAGTTAAAATGCAGGTGCAAATATCTAAACTAATGTAGGGTGTGTTCATAAAAATAGGGCTTCACAGCATAAAGCTAGCATTTGAAAATGTTTTTCTTCTCCTTCTCCCATGTTATCAGCATGGGTAGGAGATATGAAGATAAGCTTCGATGCAACATCATAATATAATTTTGATTTATTTTTGTTAGTGTTAATGCTTTGATCTCTATCTGAAATTGGCTGAAATCTTATTTTTATTGTTCTCAGTCTTCCTTTTTTCTCCCCCTTTGCGCATTGCTACTTATTTTACAGTTAGAAATTTGGGTGTGATTTTTGTAAGTGCATAACAAAGTTAAAATACAGGGGCTGACTTACTGTGGAACAGCTTGTACTTCTACGTCATGTTGGCACATTTATCATTCAGTTGTTCTCTGATTAAGAATATACTTTTAAGGCTTTATTATCTTTACTTCAGTAACATGACATGTTGTACCACATTTCTCTGCATTTCACCACTAAGCATGAGGGTAATATTTTTGTCTGATCTTGGTTTTATGAAGTCAATGAGCCTTTAGCTGTAAATGAAGTCAATTCAGATTTAAGTTCTTAATGAACGTCTGTTATTGGTGTTCTGGAATGTGATACACTTGAGCTGCTGAATTATGTAGCAGTATTCTTTTGTTGTCTCTCGTTATTTGCTTTAGAAATCACTGTAACCTATATTTAAGTAGAGAGCATTTATAAAGATGTCTGAAAGTGAAGCTATATCGAGAACTATGACTGTTTGATGACATAGCTTTACCACAAGAATATGCCATGTGGTATAAACCTGGCTGGTTCTTTTTTTGATAGTGTGTTTATAAATCATAGAACAAGCAATCTGTCTAGACTGGTAATGTGTGACTGGTAACATTTTCCTGCTAATACTAAGGAAATAGGGGTCACTTATGAAAATAGAACGGTTTGTGGCCATGTTTCTTTTAAACGTGTGTGTTAAGCCTGCAGATTTGGAACACATTGTTACTTCACTAATACATGGGAAGTTACAGTACAAAAATCCCTTGTTGACCTTCTTAAATTAATCTCTTCAGCATTAGTTATTTCCTTATTTTCAGTAGGAAGACAGCAGAATTTAAATGTTTGCAGCACATTTAAGTGGTGAGATTTGTGCTCATAAATTCATTGCAGTCTAAACTAGAATAAAGTCGTCTTAATACAAAGGAAAGGTATTTCTGCTTTGGGGTACTGCTGTGTGTATTTGCCATATATGTCTATGTGCAACTGACTGCTGAGAAAACTGCTGTGCAGTAAGATACTAGCCCTAGACTTAACCCTCTGGAGTTTTTGCTGCTGTTTGAAGTGAAGATTTCAGATATTGGGAATTCTGTCTTTGTTTTAGGAAGGCTGTTTACTTTCCTCAACCATTTTCTAACCTGTTTGTCTCTACAGAAATCCTTTCAAATGGTATATAAATGCACATGCTCTCTGTACATTGTCATTTTTTTTCTCATAATCTTATAACTCTAAATGCTTGTATTTGCTCCTTGGTAATGTTCAAAGGTAACCATTTTAATCTGAGCTGTAACTGTTGCTGTGATATGTTTCAAGCAAAAAAAATGTATCAAAGCACTGAACAAGGATTAAGACTTATTTTTTTTTATTTGCTGTTTTCAGTTTGCTTTTTTCATCGCTGCTGGGTCCTATGCTTCAGTCAAACAAAATTTCAAATTCAAATGAGGAAATTAGATCTGCATAATCATTACACGTCTGTTGCAATCAGTGTATTTCTTTGTGGCATGACAAAAGTCCTTGGCTTTTAATTGTGTTATGAATCATAATCTCATGGTCTGTAAGTATAAGCAGAGCTTGAAAATTTCATAGCGTAGTGGATAGTGAGTAGGAATCTTTCAAAAGATGTGCCTTTGTTTCTGCAGAATGTAAGCTTCAATAAATATAGAATACACTCCCAGTTAAAGTCAGTATTTGCCAGTTCATAGGTAAAGTATGAAGACAGCGTATCCACAGCAAGGCAGTTTTGTGTTGAATGGTATTTTATTTTGAACCAACATGTTTACTTGTTGCTTTAAAGACAAAAAATGCAGTGGAATGTGGTGTGTACATATGTAGTATTTTTAAATAGTTCTACAGGCTGAAGATAAGGTGGTAAAATTCAGAATCGCTTTGTATTGGCCAAATTCATGTTGACACGTACCAATGCACTGCAGTCTTCAGTGCACAGAAGCTGTGTTGTTACTGCTGGAACAGAGACTTTTTTCTTTTTATTCAGTTTTGTATGGTGCCTACCATAATGGGGTCCTAAAGCTTTAGCTGCTTTGGTAATATAAATAATAATTCTTGGTCAATGTACAATAACTTTGTGTGAGACCTATAAAGACAGCTTTACACTTTTTTCACTGTATTTTCCAATATTGCAAATGAGCTAAATCTAAATGAAAGGGCAGAATTATTTTGAAAACCATTTTTAAATCAACAGCAAAATACCAACTTGTTTCTCTGTAAAAATATACTCACATAAACAGTCTTTAAAACTCAATTTTAAGGTTTCCATGGAGACCTAAGCTGCAGAAGTTGGCTGTATCATAAAACATGAATGTTTCTGGGAAAATAGGATTTTCATGCACTTTGAGGTATTTGAGTTCAACTCCACTATTCTTAGGTTCTGTCTTTTATGCTGTCTGATAAAAAAGCTGCATAACTGAGGATTGCACAAATGTTTTCAAATAATCACAGTGAAAAGGTCTAAGTGTTTGTATGTTCAGCCTGGATAGCTGGCACATAAAAAAGTGTTCTCCAGACATAGCTCTTCAGAAATGTGCTCTTGTGTAACAGCATCCTGGGCTGTGTCAACAAGAACATAACCAGTTGGTTAAGGGAAGTGATCATCCCTTTCTGCTCAGTGTTGGTTAGACCATGCCAGTTTTGGGTCCTCCAGTACAAGACCAATATTAATGAACTGAAGTGAGTTCAGCAGAAGGCCTCACATTGGTTGCAGGCAGGAGCTCCTGCTTGGGGAGGTCAGTCTGAGGCAGTGGGGCTTGTTCAGGCTGGAGAAGGAGCTGTTTTGAGGAGAGCTAAGTCACGTTCCTGTACCTACAAGAAGATCAATAACATCAATGGTGCATGGTGGGATGAAAGACAAGGGATATAAATTGAAACAAGAGAAGGTCCATCTGGATATAAAGAAAAAATTGAGAACAGTCAGATACTGGAATGGTTTTTCCAGAGTGGCTGTGTGGTCTCTGTAACTGCAGGTTTTCAAGACCCAACTGGCTAAAGCTCTGAGCAAGCTAATCTGACCTTACACCTGACCCTGCTTTGAGCAGGAGGTTGGATTTAGAGGCCTTTTGAGGTCCCTTTCAATGTGAATGACTCTGATTCTGTGAATCATCGATCCAGATTTTCTACAAGGCAAATGCTGGTTCAATAAAGATTTAATTAGTCTCTATTGAGTTGGATCTTATCCAACATATTCCTAGTGATTTTCCAGCTGCATTTTGAAAAAGCAGTGGATGGTATAGAGCAGTGGTAAACCACATTTAGCCTCCAGGATAAGCAGAAGAGGTGGATACAACTGAGAAAAACCTAGCTGCGCTTTGGAAACTTGGTTTCCGATTTGAGCATTACAGGGCATCTAGACTCAAATGTCTGGCCAGCTGGGGGTAAGAAGATGAAAAGAAGCATATATAGCACTTCCGACTCCTTTGCTTTTTCCATCTTCTACATTTCTCACTGCAGAAATATGGTTGTTACATTTCCTATGAGGGTATATCTTGGAGAAAATTATCCAAAGCATGAAAAGTTTGATTTTTTTTTTCATAAACTTCCCATGCATGAATTGCCAAGTTTGCTCGAAGATTATTCATAATGGCCCTACTATCAAATAGGAATGTTACAAAAAGTAATTTCTCTTTCAGTGGGGTCTTATGCCGCCTTCTATTCTGAAATAAGAATTCTCTCCATCTCCCTACTAGTGGTATTAGTACTTATATCAGCTGCAGCATTTAACATCCCACAGTAGATTGCAAAACAGAATTCCGAAAAATGAAATTTGCCCTGATGGAACTTCTAAGACTCTTACAGGACTGCTAAAATCAGTGTACTCTAATGAGATATTTTGGAGTTAAGTAAGAAAAATGTCCCCTAGGATCATCTTCCTGTCTATGAAAAAGAATATCAGTTGAGTACGAGCGTGGCAATGTTGACGTTTGTTTAGCAAGAATCAATACCAACATACTACACACCTAATTTCAGTTCTAGGATAAATGGATTTTATTGCTTGTGTTTCCCTGTGTACTAGGATATACAATATCATTCTTCCAAATGGCAGTCAGCCTGCTATTTTGTATTGAGTTTTCGGTAATTTTATTAAATGATCAAGTAAATCACTACCCTTCACTAGTCTCTCCCCTTTTTTTTATTAATATGGCTGAGACTTTTATAAAAGAACGAAATAATTTCTTTCTATCTTGAGGAAGGTTGCATCTGGAAACAAGATCAAAATGAGGTCTGCATTGCTGTAGTGTTGTTCAGCATATCTGTCATATTTGTTTTCTTACAGTGAAAGGTTTTTTTTAAGACTGAATAGAAATGGTTTGCCAAAATGTCCAGAAAAGCCTGAAAGACACTGTTCTCTCTTTGTGGTGAGTTCTTCCTATTCTCAATCTTTGTTGTGCTGTTTTTTGAAAATAGAAGTTGGATTAAATTATTATTCTCTGGTTGACTCAGAACTGCTCCCTAAGCTTTTACATTGTTATGAATATCAACTCTAAAGGCTAGTTAAAGTGTATTGCTGAACTCCCAAGCTGAATGTTTTCTGGCAATGTGGGGACACTCATCTGAACTTCTACATGGGCATATGTACTAGTCTTTCTCCCTGCAACAAGGACCAGATAGTTTTCCTCCTTGTGCATTTCGCTCCCCAAAGATTGTTTGTGCAGCACTCTGTACTTTCAGAATATTAGGAATTGCACAAATGCATGACTGCCATTCAAGGCACACAGCAAGTCTCTTGTGTCCTCCCACTGATTTTGCTATGCTACAGCATATTCTAGCCCGTGATATTTTAGGACAGTCGTTCTGAGTGCCAATTCAAAGTGTTAAAGGGATAATTTGTTAGTGCTGTATAAATGAACTCACTGTTCATTTATCACTTCCACTGACAGTGAAAGCAGTGTGTAAAGATCTCTTCAAATGTCACAATTTAATCAGGAGTCATAAATAATGAGGTTCTGATCTTGTGCAGGATTTGGGCAGCAGTGAACTCAGGAAGGACATCTATATCACTGTGCACATTATCCGAATAGGTAGGTATAATCGTCTGTGAGTAGAAATCTTGCATTTCTTAGACATATGACAGTAAATAAAGAAAACTGCTCGGGGTCACCTTTGGGATTTGTTAGATTAGCTAGGCCTTTGAATATTTTTTTGGAAAAGAAAATGCCTGGTTTTTGATGGAAAAATTGCTTTGGATTTCTCAGCATTGTTTTGTGTTATTTTTCAAGTGTACTGCTAACTGAGTTTAGATGTAGGATGTTTTTGTTACTATCACAAAACAAAATGAAAGTGTCAAATGTGACTGTCTTAAGATGATGGAGGTGTTACTAGGGAATCCATTCTTGTTTCAAAGACTAATTTCAAGCATCCTTTGTCAATAGAAAAACTTGCCTAGAAATTTAGTGTACCTAATTAGTATGTAATATCTGATGTATATCTGAAATTGTTCGGATGAGTTTTTGTCTTCTCCCTGACCCCTTTAAAAAGGGGTAGAGGGAAGGAAGTGGAGGAAGTCTCATAATAACTTTAATCCGTGATGCTATAGACAGCTGTCAAGTCCTCTAGAACAAAGCGGAAGAAAAGTGTGTGTTAGGTATTTATTTTAAGAAGTTATCCTCTGGGCTGTACTGATGTGAAACAATAATCTTCAGGCCTGCTTCTGACCTCTTAGATATATTGTCGTCTTTGTAAACTGTCTCTGTAGTTGCATCAGTACAGTACTAAATATAACTTTTCTTCCTATTTTTGAAAGGTATTTTGGTTTGAAATATGGTTGCTCTAACTTGTGCTAAGTTCAGAAACAACTTGTTACAAAGTAAACACTATTTTACAGCTTTGAGGAATAATTTTTCCTTGCATTTTCATGCTGTTTTAGTGTTTCATCATAATATCAAAGTACTGTGTTTTGGTTTTGTTGGCAAGGATTGGGAAAAAGTATGGTAAACTGATGTAATGCATATATATTTGGTAAGAACAAATGCTTTAAAGAAGAATAAGGAGTAGAATTTTTCCTATTGTATAGTTTTCAAATATGTTCTCTGTCAAGTTTATAAATGACCCACTGAAATATTAAAAGGTTAAAATAAAATTTATATGCTGCATGGTGTGAAAATGAACAATTACTCTTCTAGCTGCTGTGATGCATAGGAATATTTGGAGGAGGCATTGCCCTGCAGTGACTGCAGCCAGAGGCTTTTCTTGTCGGAAATTAAGACTTGGTGGGAAAGATACATAGCTGCCAGTGCACAATTGAATAAAATGGTTAGAAAGAGTGCAGTTTCAAATGCCAGGAACACATCAAGAAGATTGATCAATTATATTTAAATCAAATAGAAGAGACTAGGAAAAATATTTTGTTTCAAATCTGTTTTCCTTGGCTGCCTTGTTTCTTTCCTTATCATAAATTGTTCTTCTGCCCTTTGTCATCTTTCCTCCCTGTGTTTCATCTCTGCTTGGTTTTTCTGTAGCTGGTCGATTATCCTCTTGCTAGCCAGTTGCCTATTTGGAAGCAGCATTTGATTACTAAATTGTAATGGCTCAATCACAACACCTCTCATATAAGTCATGAGTATCAACAACCACAGTAAAATAATTCTTATTGGACAGCAAATGTTGAACACTCTGTCATGTCTGAACTCTAAATTTAATTTGCTGGTGTCATAAGTGTGCTATCACTGGGTATCAGAAAGTGTTGTTTGTTGAATGGAGGTCATGAGAGGATGAGCAGTACCTCTGGTCTGACACCTTTCAAGATCACCACATATTTAGTGGACTTCCTATAGCATTTGTTATCCTAATGTAGTATGAAGACGGACCAGATTCACAGTGAGTATACTTGGCATCGTCTGCTCAGACCTGTCACCATACTGAGCTGGATTGCTCTCTGCCTCCCTTCTGTGGTTTTGAGAGAGACAGTTCCATGGATTATGCATCAAATATGTATTTTGTTTGGCAGGACGAATGGGAGCTGGAGAAAAGAAAAATGCCTGCAATGTACAATATAGACGGCCCTTTGGCTGTGCAGTCCTCAGTATTGCAGATTTGCTGGCAGGAGATTCAAAGGATGACCTCGTCTTAAAAGTATACATGTAAGGAATGCTTTTTTCCTTAATTTTTAGAAATATCTTAGAGTCAGTTTGCATCAGAAGCAGTGGTGTTAAATGCAGTGTGAGTAAACAGCTGTTGCTCCTTTCTGTTCCAAAAGAGCGGAGGAGCTAATTTCTGGGTTTTTGTCACAGTTTGGAAATTTTGGCTAGTTGTACAGATGTGTTTATAGAGTGGGACAATATTAAAGATAAAGGTTATATCTTTTTAGATCTTTGTGTATGTTTCAGCATTTTTCACATCCTTGTAAGACCTTCTGGAGCTCTCTTTTTATGGCAACGTGAAGTGCTTTTAAGACTTGTTCAAATGTCTTGTGCTGCCTAGGCAGCTAGTGAAAGTACTTTATAACTACGGAAAAAAGCAGACAGTATCTTTTTGTGAAATTAAGCAATTATATAATGGGGATAACAAAAGTGTAAAAGGCAGTTAGTGCTGGAGGATGAAAACTCAAAAATAGGTTTTAAAATGAATGGTCGATTAAATAGTGGATTTTGGCTGATAGTAATTGGAAGAAAGTTCAGTTTTCTAGTTGTAGCAACACAGTGCATGTAATTTCCTGCTG